CGGCAATACGGCGTGCCGGCAGAATTAGCCTAGGCCTCAACGCGTTTGCAAAGCCTTGGCGGAGAAAGCCAAAGCGTAGTTGGCCACAGTGAGCTCGTTCTCGTTGCGGCTCTTTGCACGACACGACCCGAGCATGCCTCTGGCACGGCCGGTTTTAGTTGCTGTGAGTCGCGAGCTCCGAGCCGGCGTTAAACAAGTTACGTTTGAACTACAAGAATATCAGCAAGAGCCACGCAAATACCCGTTCACACTCGGAGAGGACACGCGCGTTTGATCGAAGTGCTGGATTCGCTCTGTTAGACCGCGTTTCGGTAAGCGCTTCTGTACCGATCTTTTACGATTGCAACTTGATACCGACATGACAGTCGGCAAAGAAAGATTGGACCGACATCGAGTAGCTGACGTAGCGTCGTGTCAGAATAAAAATGGCATACTAATAACCAAACGTACATACCGTGTTGCGAAGGTAATCCGTATGGCGTTAATTTGACCTCTATATCACACAAAACAAGGGGATAGAATCAATGAGAGTCCCTTTTCGACGACAGCGTTCGTCACCGCTGTCTCGGAAAACAAGGACATCGAGATGACAAGGGAAAAAGATTGACCTCTGAAATTTAGTTCAGGGATCAAACTATTCATCCGGGAAGGGTCCACATGGGTCACGCGGGCATATTCCATCCAGCAGGCCAGCCGGTCATGGGCAGACGGTCTTGGCCAAGGACCGCCGGAGCAACGGTGCGCCGAGTCGGTGTTGCTGATAGGCCTACTATATTCTGCCGAGCTCACTTGGTCGGTAGAATCATGGCCGTTGTAGCTCTTCTCGGGTGTTTGTGGATCTTGCGTTCTTGATCGTCGTGGTCTGTTTCAGGCACTCCTTCCTTTTTTCTTGCTGGTTGAAGTTGGGACGCACGAGAAGAGCACGTAGAAAAATAAATGTCCCTTGGTCGTCGCTACCAAGTGAGCGACGCTTTCGGCCATGTTGATTTGATCGTAAAAAGTGCGTAAGACAGCTGCGGAGCTGTTGTAGGATTCTGCCGTAACATAGGCAAAAGTTACGACAATTTCGTTCCGAGAATACGGGTTTTCTCTAAGATTTGTCGTACGCACATTTTTCGTCGTAAGTTCGCTTTGAGAATCCGGCCTCAGAGCTGGTTTTGTCAGTGGTGCCGTGGTTGCCGACTTGCCGTGGTGCAGCGTGCGTGCAGCCCTTGCACATCTCAAACGGCCACGTTGTCACAGGTCGTAAATCGTCGACGCGCCACCAAGTGGTAACGCTCGTAACCACAACATCCACGCCGTAGCCTTTCTCGTCTGGTACAAGTGACGTTACGAATGCGCCCAATATCCCAAGACGCATCGCGCTCTCCGATGGCCGATTTTTGAGCACGCGCCCAATCGAGCCCCTCAGGGTGAAAAATATAGCCATTCGTTCAAAATACAAATGCGCGATTATGATTTACGGATATCATTGATCATATTAAACCTATTTCTGACCATAATAAGTGTATTTCAAGTTTCGCCTTAGTATCCCTTTAAGGCACGCGTCTTGAATTTTCTTTCTTCTTACAGCGAAGCTTGTTATGATATAGGGCTCCGAGGATTTTTTCATGTGCGTCAACAAAGACTCGCACCGCCCTCTCTTTGTCGTCGTTGCAAGCGTTTGCATACCTAGTTTCCTTCTGCTCTTCCGGGACTACTGTCCCGTCAAGCGTGTCTACTTTCCGCCGGGTGGCGGTCCCGTCGCTCATGTCTAGTTTCCTCTGGCTCCTCGGGGCGGCGGTAGTTTGTATCTTTGTTCAAAATTCTGCGTCAAGTCTGTATCGTGTGCTAAACAGCTTTTCTTTCTGCTGTAATGCGCGGATATTTATTTCCCTTTTATACAAGCCCCATCATCGTCCGTTCATTGGACCTAAATTATAAAATCTATTGAGTTCTCTTTTTTTTTGTTATCTCAAGCGCTGTTATCGCGTCCCAGAGCAATCGACAGCGCGCTCCTTTCACTACTCAGCTGGGCGCGGAGCTAAGAGGCGGAGCGCCCTCTACATCGTGACGTCGCCGTCTTCCAAGCGCCGGCCGCCCCCAATGCACGGCGGAGGCTACGCGGTGGCTACACTACCCCTTTGAGCCACTGTAGTGTAACCAAGCGTAAAACTAATAGCAACATACTTCTTACAATATAAAACAGTAACGTATAAAGTACTTACGTTACTTATTTTGGGTAATGGGTAACGTATTTACGTTACTTGTAACAGCTTCTTTCCAAGATTTAAACAGTTACGCTTCAAATCTGTTGCGTTTCTCCACTTCGTTTTAGCTTAAGGCAAGATACAGCTCACGCTACGAGGTAGCGGGACCAATCAGCAGCGTCAAAGACGCGAGTCACTGGGCCTTTACTATTTATGATTGGTTCGACGATGTTAGTGTACGTACAGAAACCCGACCAACACGAAGAAAGGGAGCTTTTTACGCTGTCTGATCCGTCCCATCAGGTCATAGCATCGGCTGCGTCTGAACATAACTGTGAAAAGAAGTATAAGCACCAAGTCATGCATTCTTGCCTTCGTTTTACATACATCTAAAACACTGCCTTTCTAAGTGACGGAAAACGTTAACGTGCCTCACTTTTTTGTGGATGGTGACGCGTTGCTTTTATTCGCGAGTAACGACCAACGTGGATCGCAAATTGTTTTCGCTAACGCCAACAACACTGGTTCCACGTATACGCTGCGGATTGGAAGCACCACGGGCGCGTGCAGAATTTGTGCTTCAAAGTTACATGACAATCTCCCGCCATCGCTCAATAATAACGAAATTTTAAGATCATAACTCCCAACACTAATAATCTTGGAGTTTAGGAAGCTTGGAACTAAACGCTTTAGCTGAGTGTTCCGAGAATACGTCTTTTTGCGCTTACTCATTCTGCTAGCGTGTGCTTGATGACAATCCGTACAAATTAAAAGAAAGAGTTAAGGGCGTAAGTTAGAAAGTAAGAAACGACTCCAGTAAAAAGCGCTTCGCCTAAACATCTCTACTGGCGAACTCAACAAATTGCATTTCGACAGCTTGCCCCTTTCGACGGGTTACTCCTTTTGCGAACGGACCTAGGACGACCTATTCGAGGAGTAGACCATTGACGAGTTGACGCTCTAAGAATTGGCTTTCGACAAGATGGCGGGATCGAAGCTCGCACATATCCAGAGCTGGCAGTAATGCAATTACTGTAATGAAATTACAGTAATTTAATTACTTGTTCCAGTAATTAGTAATGTAATTCATTACTTTTTGTAGCAGGTAATTTAGTAATGTAATGAATTACTTCAGCGACTGCAATTGTAATTAAATTACCTAATTACTTTTTCGCACCAGGCATATTTTTTGTGTCCACAATACACAAGAGCGCTTTTCTTTTTATTTTACTTTTTCTTTTTCGTCTGCACCTTTCCAAAAAACGCTCTTTGGCCGCCGCTATGTTGCTGATGCTAATGCGGCTGGTGCGACTCTCGCGCCCGCTATCAGCTAGACATTTTCTGCCACTCTCTTGAACTGTGAAAACCCGCTCAGCGCGATTCTCTACCTATGTTTTGCGGTTTTGCATTCGACGTTTTCTGGCCCCTCTTGAAAGTTTCCGTTTCTTTTCCTGGTGCATACTGTGTACCCTCTCTGTGTTATCTTCCACTGTGAGAAATAGGGCTGGTAAGTGCCTTCCATTCGAGCTTTTCTGCTCGACATTCTCGGGAAACGAAGGAGGGGAAGTAGGTCGAACTAAGGCCCCTGGTGGAACGGCCCTCGACGCGAGTTTGCGAACAATGAGAATTGTTCTCCCCCTCCCAGAGATAATCCGCGTAGGGTCCTCAGTCATCTCCAAAAATAGTTTTCCTGGTTGGGGTGGGAAACGGATCAGTCGCGTGCGTTCCTCTGTCCATCGGTAAACATGCAACAGAGAGTTCTAGCTGTGTGCCATGAACTGTGTAAATAATGTAAATAAAGTTATCTGTAAAAAGAAGGTATCAATAGCTCCTTTATATTTAAAAGTATACAAAAGTAATGCGAAAGTAACGTAATTACTTTTAAAAGTAATTTGTAATGGTAATTAATTACTTTCTGGCTGTGGTAATTTGTAATGTAATTTAATTACATTTCAGCAATTTTCAGCAAAGTAATTAGTAATGTAATTTAATGACAAAATATGAGTAATTTGGCCAGCTCTGCACATATCTAATATAGAATCACTGGAATTTATATTTTAGATCATCGTTCGCAGCGCAAGCTTAGAACAATCTCCCGTTTAACACGTTCAAAGCGCCAAAACTACGCAAGAACAATATGAAAGGCGAGGAAAACGGGGTGCATTCGAAACTAACCTATCTTGAAAAACGTTCTCTTACATAGGCCTTTGCAAAGATCGCCTTCAGCGTGCTGCCATCTTTGTCTGCTGGACTGTGGAACGCCTCCTGAGCATGGGCTGTTATCTGCTGCTCAGTATGTCGGACGCTGCGCATGCGTCCACAGCTCAGTGACTCAGCATTTTTTGCCTGGGTGATAATCGTTGCAAAGGCCTATACTCGTCGTAAAATACATAGTCACTCCTATATTCGAGTGCGCCCTTTTTTTCCCCTTCTTTTTTTATGTGCAGTTTCGGCGCTCTGAACGTGAAAATGATCCAAGTAGGACAAATTGCCACTTTAATGAGACTATTCAACGTCTCCCAAGAACAATGAGCCTGATTGCGTATAGCGTATAATGCAGGATTATGCAAATTCAACGTGCATGCTGCCCAATCGGGACTTTTTTTTTCTTGATGAATATAAATTGGGTAGAATTCTGAGCACGCATTGGAAACAACCCCCTTAAAATTGCGTCCATTCAATACTTTCTAACCTAAATCAGAATCACGAGGCCTTTGAGTGTTTGTGCCTCCTGATGAATGTCTTAAAATTTCTACACATTCACGGCAGACTCACAAACTGCAAAGGCGCAGTTTCCTTTAAAGTGCGTACCTGAATGCTCCGATTTCCTTGCTGGTATGCAAGACAGTAGACCGCATGACGGACGGCCGGCCTTCCTCGCTGTCGTCGCTGTATGCCCAGATGCCGCCCAGGCACGACGACAGCTCGTAGATGACTGACTCAAAGCCCTCATCCAGCATCTGCCGGGCAGAAAGGATGCCGCTGCATCCGCCTCCGACGATGCAGACCCGCAGTGGGCTGTCCTTGTTACCGCTTCCACTCATGATGCTTGCCAGAATCTTAACGGAGTCAACTCCTATTGATCTCCAAACTGCTGAGGATCACCTGAACAAAGCAAGAGTGCGGGGCTTAAATGTCTAATTATTGCCCGATAGCGGTCATGCAGAGTGCATATCCGAATCGTATGAACACTGAAAGCGGGACACCGATTTGGTGATGATCTACCTTACTGTGGAAAGAAACTAGACAAGATGGACGATAGAGAATGCCACACATACAGGAGTGAACTGGGCTTCTGAGGTGGCGTGCTCGAGTTGTGATCAAGTAACGTACATCGTAGGGCCCTGTTCAAACATTGAGCTTATTTAATCGACTGCAACCAGCTTACAGCTTGAGTTGCAATATTGAATTATTACTCCAAGCTTCACTTTGCATCGGCATCAGCTTCGCACAGGCGTGCGGTACGCGATGGCGAGAAAATGGGCGCGCTTTGCCTTCGGTCGTGCGGTTATGGGAGCTGTCGACGAATATGACACCGGTAGTACAAAACGGCAACCGTCTTTTGCGCAATGTCAATCTGCAGCACATTTTGATGTACTAATAACTAATTGATGTAGAACTAATAGAAATACCTCGAAAAAATTATTTGTTTCCAGTGAACTCCCACCGACATGCTTTATGTTCGTAGGGGACTAAAAATGGGAAACTAGCAGACGGTGGGGTAGTCGACAGCTGCGAATCGGCCGGAGCTGGCAGGAGCCAAGCTGGCTAAAAGGCCAAGCCGGAGCCATAGCCGGAACGACAGTGCTGCAAGCGCCAGCGCCACCCGCGGCCGTCTTCCAACGCTGTTCCGCATCTCCGGTTTCGTTCGTTACACTACCCCCTTTAAGCCACTGTAGCAGAACTTTACCGGATTCAATACCAATAGGGCCTGCAAGTTCGTCTGCTCTTTGCGCACTTCCAGCCTTTGTTTACCCCCAACGCCCCCAAGGTTTACCCCCAAGCTCGACCAAAGCGCTCTTGGCTGCCTCGTCATCGCGCAATCCCTACGCGTTCTCTATGCTGCCCCCTTGATTGGCGCGCTCCTCTGTGCTTTCCGGTGCGCGAAAGACTCATTTTGGAATACTTGCTCGCCGTATTAGTTTTAGATTTCAATTCGTTTAATAGTTTTCATCCGTAATAATGTATAACAAGCCGCTTCTATGTCCACTGAAACAACCTTGATATCCTTATACTTGTTGGTGTTGTTTTGAAAGGTGTAGATAGTTACGAATGTGATGGGTGGAACCAGCTGAACAATGAAGGAAGGAGAAAGAGAAAAGACAACCGGCTGCTGGACTATTAACTATATCAATAAATCGTCCCTCTCTTCTACTAGTTCTTATGCGGATTCATTTGTTGCAACCAAATAGTTGGTAGTCCAGCGGGCGGTTGTCTTTTCTGTTTCTCCCTCCTTCATTGTTCAGCTGGTTCCACCGTGATCTATAATAACCAACTAGTTCAACTCATCCCCGTTGTAAGTTACGAATGTTTTTGTGTTACTAGGACTAGCGATTTATTTATTTATTTAAAATACTATCGGTCCTACACAGGACTAAGATAGGAGTGGATTTTGCACAACACGAAAAAATAAACGCGATCAAAATGCACAGATAAATAACACGTATTCAACACAACGATGAAATGGCAACTCTAGGTACTACTGTCAGAAAGCTCTGAAATAAAGGAACTAAACTCTTCTCGAATTTCAGCGGTCACGACGTGTGCCGGTAGCTTGTTCCGTTGTCGCGCTGTTTGCAAGAAAAACGAATCCCTAAAACAGTCCTTAAAAAACTTCCGCTCTTCCACACACCGAGCGTGCTTGTTGCGGGTTATAGGCGACATGCGCTCATTAATATACTGTTGCTTATTTACTAGAACCAAGTTATTCATTATGTTATAAGAAAGGTTAAGCCGCTTCTGCTTCCTCCGCACTTGAACGACGGGTAGATTTGCCCTTTTATAAAAAGGTGAGTCCAGCCGTCTATTGCAAGAAAAAACAAAACGTAACGCACGCCGTTGTACTTGCTCCAGATTTGATACGAGATATTTAACATGCGGGTCCCAGACTTCACATGCGTATTCTAATAAAGGCCTTATTAGCACCTTGTATGCTGTGAGTTTTGTTTCTGAGGAAGCGAGTTTAAGAGAACGCCTGATGTATCCTAATCGTTTATTTGCGTTTCCGATTATATTGCTAACGTGCGGTGTCCAACTTAGGTTTGAGGCTATTGTAAGACGAAGGTATCTAAACTCTGACACTCGGCTTAATGCTTTTTTCGTGCAGCATATACATATAATCTAACGGCTGTCGTTTATGAGTGATCGTCATACATACTGTCTTGTCTAAGTTTATCGACATTTGCCACTTTACACACCATTCATTGGTCTGGGACAAATATTCGTTTAGCATAATTTGATCATTAACGGACCTTACTTCAGTATAAATAACACAATAGTCGGCAAATAATTTGGCTTTTAGAGGTGAATCTTGGATAAGGTCATTAACAAAAACCAAAAACAGCAGGGGACCCAGGACAGAACCCTGTGGAACACCCGAGTTCACATCACATTCGTCCCCGAGCTAACCCTTCAATACTTACAAACTGTCGACGATTATCTAGAAAGGCCTCAATCCACCAAACAATCTTATTATCTCCCAAGATGGAAATCAATCTAAATAAGAGCTTTCTATGATTCACTTTGTCGAATGCCCTCTTAAAGTCTAAAAATGTGATGTCTGTTTGTACGTTACGATCCGATACCTTACAAAAATAATGCATGGTTTCTACTAGTTGCGTGACCATTGACAGCCCCTTAAGGAAGCCGTGATGGTACTGGACGTTATTCGATTTCATTTCATTTCATTAATTGTCCTCAAAGGCATCTGGCGATGCATTATATGATGGGAATAGCAAAAAATGAGGGGGGATAGCAAATATATTTAGAAACAATATGCTCAAGAACTTTGCACGATGTAGACGTTAGCGCGATGTGTCTATAATTGCATACTGACTTAGCATCTCCACTTTTCAGTATTGGAATTATCTTACTGATCTTCCAGTCATACGATACAGTGCTAGTCAAAATCGACTTTTTAAAAATTAAGTGCAAATTCATTGCCGTCCACACTGCATATCGCCTTAGAAAAGAATTTGGAATTTCTTCCGGTCCCATGGATTTGGAAGTTTTTATGTCAAGCAACAAAGCCAAAATACCCTCAACTGTCAGTTGCAGGTCATCATCAGCCAGTGGAATTTGAGCTGGTGATCTAAACTCTACAGACTGCTTATCGTCTTTTGTGAAGACGCTTGCAAAGAACTTGTTGAATTGAACTGCAATCTCTCGCTTGTCGTTTATAATTCCTTGCTCAGTTTTGACCTCGGAAACTGACTTCCTGGCTGTTGCCAAATGCCTCCAAAACTTTTGCGGTGACTCACGGATAAACTTTTGCATTGTCACGTTATAAAACTTGCATTTAGATTCTTTTAGCACAGATTTCAGCGCCATGCTTAAAGCCAAGGTATCATCCAATAATGCCGAACGTACATACAGTACATTACAGCACGATTTATCACGTTTTTCTTTAGGTCTTCCGCTTAATTTCTACAAAAGTCAAGAAAGCTTCTGCTTAGGACCCGGCATAGGCGGTTCAGTGAAAAAAGGAATCTATCCAGAAGACATTTCCGTCCCTTGTGTATGACTTACTTTGTCTTCTTCCTTGTGGTTTTCGGCGCCTTTCTACGTTTTCAGACCATTGAACCAACTGACACAAATAACCACCTGCTGCAATACATTTTTGATGCTGAGCAAAAAATAAGCATTCCTTTAGCAAATATTTTATATCGTTGCCAGTATTTGTAGCGACAAAATCACAAAAGCAGTTGATACCTGTACCTGCGTTGATTCAACTGGCGTCGCACTACGCTCGAGGAGGAGGGGGAAAGAAGAAAGGAGGATTAGAGAGGGAGGAGTAGGGGTGAGGAGGAAACTGGGAGAGAGCCCCCGGAAAATCTGTTGGGGAAAAAAAGAGGGGAGTTGCGGTCAATAAGGTCCCCCGGCGATTTCTTTTTTTTTTTTTTGTGGGGAGGGGGGGTGATTGGGTTAATTTAGGGTAAAAATGTGTTTTCCAAACTTATTTTAAAAAGGCTTCTCCTATTCCGCTTACAAATCGCCACGGTGCGCTGAGCTGAGGGTATTAAAGATATAAACTTCATTATTTATTTATTTATTTATTTAAAGTATATACTAAAAAATAAATAAATTTATTTATTTAGCACATACTTTTTTGTTTTCACAACAAACTTTCCAGGGGCCCCTTCCCAGTTTCCTCCTGTCAGAAATTCTTTTTGATTCACAGCTCATTGACCGATCAAATTACCTAACCTTTCATCAGTCGCATATCACTCCTAATAACCAGTGGCGTTACGTACAATAATTTTCGCTTAATAAATATTGTTTAACATTCTTTCTTTCCGCAAGATGCGGGAGTGAAACGTATTACCGGATACTGTTGTTTCTCTCGGCGATCCCGAGTCGTTTTCGTCCCATATATAAGCAGCCTAACTATTGTACGTAACAACACATATAATATTGTATTTTCGATGCCTTTTTTTGTATTTTGCATTTTGCGTACCAGCGTTTTCGCGTCTACTTCGTTTGCTATTTATTCTTCAAAGTGTGGTTGCAATCACCATTTCTGTTAAAATCGTTCGCATAGACTGATGCCAGATCAATATATAAATATAAATAAAAAATATTAACTCGAGGGTATTTGAAAACTATTCCTCTACTTCTGTTGATCAATATTAAGTTAATGTGAGTTAGAAGCAATTAAGTACTAAAGATACAGTACAATATACGGATTTTTTTTTTTTTCATTTTTATAATCTGATTAACTAAGCTCCAAAATCAAAAGCAAGAAGGCGGCACGCAGTCTCGATTAGTGAAAAGTAAAAGGACTTGAAAACCGTTAATAAAGTTGTAGCCCTACCGAAAGTAAACC